ACTATTATGGGAACCACTGGCCACATGTGGCTATCACATTTTAAAATGTGGCCAGTCCGAACCAAGATGGGCTGTAAGTGTAAAACATACATGAAATTTCAAAACTTAGTACAAGAAAAAATTCTCAATAATTTTTAATGTTGTTAATATTTGGAATATATTAGGTTAAATAAAATATATTAATAAAATAAATTTTACTTTTCTTTTGAATACACATATGTATTGATTTTCATATGTGTCAATCTTTCCTAATGTAGATACTAGGAAATTCAAAATCACACACATGGCTTGCGTCCTATTTCTATTGGAGAATGCTGGTTTAGTGGATTTCCCCCCACAAGATATGAGATACTCAAATAAGAAAACTGATTTATACCTTCTGTGATGATCTTTACTCTTAGACACCATGAGAACTGGGGCTCACCATCAATAGAATGGAATTTGTGCACAGTACTTTTCGTGTTCAAATTATTCATCTAAGCAGGTTGGACATTTGCACTGGTTTGTGCTGTTCCTGTTAGAATAATTTCATAGTCCAAAGTGAAAGTCTTCACAGCTCCCTGTTCTATGTTCTGGAAAGCCCTGTTTCATTCGCAGGGCATACCTGCAGACCTGTGACCCCTTTCACCCTCCTCACCTCATCAGTTAGCTGGAATTTCCAGAAGAAATCAGCTGGGAAGCCCTCTGGGCCACTCTCCTCAGAGTGTATGTACCTTAAGCTGTTAGACTGCCAGGTCCCAGAGAGCAGGGGCTCAATCCTGGTCCTGTTTCTACCTGCACTGCATCTAGAATTGGTCTTCACACACAAGTGAGTGCATTTGATAAGTGTTGGTTCCATGGATAGAGCTGATGGTTTAGGGAGAAGAAGGACTTTTCCTTCCTGTCCTTTGTATTAGAGCACTGGCTCTTATCACATTAGGCAGCGGCTGTCAACTGTGCTTCTTAATTCAGTGACTTAAATATCCAAGTGCCACTGGCTGACAGACCTGAGCTGGGCGCTGGGCATGCAGTGGTGAGTAAGACAGGCACAGCTCTAACCCTCCAGGGGAAGACAAACAAAAGCACACACATCACACAGTGACAATAACTGGCATGTATCACTAGGGAAAAGCAGCTGGAATCACGAGAGGGACGTTGACCGGGGAACCTAATGCTGTAGGGGTCAAGGAAGGCGTCTAAGTGACCTTTACACCGGACCGGAGGGAACTGTTTGCCCGGCGAGGCGGAGGAGAAAGGGCAGGCTGACCATTTTAAGCCACATTAAAATTTCCAGCTTAATCCTTAAAACCAACGAAAAGCCATTGAAAGATTTTATGCAAGATAATCATGTGATCAGATGTGCCTTTTAAAAATATCGCTCTGGACACCACAGACAACAGTGTGGTAGTTACAGGAGGGAAGGTGCCCAATACATGGTGACAGAAGGTGGTTTGACTTTGGACGGTGGGCACACAGTGCAATATACAGATCTTGAAACATAAAAAATAATATTGCTCTGGAGGTGGGTAAGAGTGGATGTGGGACCCACCCAGAGCATATCGACAAATTCATGAAAATTAATCAGACTCTCTCTGGTTATCATCATTTCAATAGATGCTAAGTTTCAACAATAAAAAGATGTATGTCATCCACATCCATGAGTCTGAAAACCAGAGAAAGCATCCTAGAGTATTAATCTAATATGGGATACCCTCCAAGTACCCTCAAAACACTAATTTCCACCAATTCTATTGGCCTGGCCATGGAAATTGTTACTGGACATGAGCCTTAGCCCTGACCCAAGCAGATCCTGTTTATTTCGGACCAGCACCCAGCGATCCCTACTGGTTGACCAGCTCCTGGGGTCACTGAGAGGCTGAGCTGTCAAAGATTTAGCAAACTGTATGAGTTTGGGAATATTTTTAATGCTATTTTATGCCCCCAAACTGGGTGCCTCTCAGTATTTACTAGATTCCTGTGTTCCCTTCTCAGGGACACTTGGGTTCTGACAAGTGTACTTGAACAGCCAGTGTCTGCTCTCAAGGCCAGAGTCTGCTCTCAAGGCAAGAAATTCATGAAGGAACTCAATCATATCCATCATAAACAAAACAAATGCAGATTATCTAAATTCTGTAGGCGTATATGAACTTTTGTTCTGTTCTGGACTCTTCTGGGTGACACGTATACATATGTATGTGACCTGCCCATATATAACTGCTTTCTAAAACCAACCAGCCATGCCTGGTGATGGCCTTTACTGTTCTCTTTGATGGCAGATATCCGTTTAATTTCAAATAGCCATAAAACTAAAATGTTGGCAGCTACACAGCACATTCAGCATTCTATTAAAAATGTGTCATTTCTAAAAATTTAAATTTCTCCGAATTACCTCCTCTTATAATCCTTTTTATTAAAATGAAAATGTCTCAACCCCACAAACTGTTTCCTTCCTGAATTTCTGTTGCACCACTCTGAAAGCAAACGACCCTTTGCACCTAATGACGTTGAACCCATCCTTCTCAGAGGCAGGGTCATCAGGGTAAAGCACATGGGTTTAGGAAGCAGTCAGAGCAGGGTCCCAATCCTGGCTCCATCCCCTCCTAGGTGTACAACTTTGGGAAATTTTCTTAAATTCTCTGGCCCTTGTTCACTCCTGCCTAAAACGAGGCTAGCTTCCGGCATTCGTCTCCTAGTGCTGCCCTAACAGATGACCACCAACAAGGCAAACAAGAGAGATTTTCTCTTTCACAGTTCAAGAGGCCATAACCCTGAGGTCAAGGTGTCAGCAGGGCTGGGTCTCTCCAGAGGCTCTCTGGGAGAATCCTCCCCTGCCTCTTCCAGCTTCCCGGAGCTCCTGGCATTACTGGGCTTGTGGCAGCACACCCCAGTCTCTGCTTCCATCTCGCACGGCTTTCTTCGCTGTGCCTCTGTGTCTTCTTGTCTCATGAGGACACCAGTCCTTGATTTAGGATTTACCCTATCTCCGGGATGAGTTCATCTCAAGACCATTAACTAATTATATTTGAAGAAAAATCTATTTCCAAAGAAGTTCACATTCTGAGGTTCTGAGTGGCCCTGAATTTGGGGGGACATACTAGTCAACACACTGTACCTACCTACAGCAGAGCATCGGTCCATTATACTCAGGAACACTGACGGATCCCCACAGGGATTTAGTATTACAGTAGGTAGTTAATCCCTTTTCTATACTATGAATTGTTCAGCTGTGTTTTACTTTTGCCATCACAAAAAAATGGTTACTTTCAGAGATGACATTGTGTATATAACTAGCACTGTACTGAAAATGCATTAGTGCTCAGAAAATACTGTATTTTTCTTCCCCTCCCCTATGTTTATCTTAGCCCTGCAATGAGTTACTAGCACAATTCATGTGTAAATACCAAGAAATCAAAGGGCTCTTCAATGCCCTACAAAAAGATATAGACAAACATTTCTTGTCCCTGTATAATGATTTCTTAAGGTGAGGCAGGGTGAGTAGTTCTCTTTTCAAAACTTGACTTATTACAGTTGTTTAAATACTACGGGCTACACATGCATTTAAGAGATCCTTGCGTTTCTGCGGAATATAAGGGTCATGAAAAAGGCTCTGGGTAAAAAAAACCCTGATTTCTGCTATTCTTTGCCTAATTTCCTAACCATTTGGTCCACTGCCAGTTAAATGCCTGGTTCCTACAGCTCACCACCATACTACTTATAGATTTTCCTTCCTCACATAACCCCATCTCTGATTTAGTTTAACAAGGAAAGCAAAAACACGAACATTATTCCCAACAGTTTGTCCATCTTCAAAACAGCAACAGCGGGTCCTAGGGAAACAAAGGCTGAAGGACCCTGCAGCAGACAGCAGGAGGCGGTAGAGAGCGAGGCAGCGCTGCCTACTGAGCTCCTGCTTCCTCTTACCCCACACCTTTCCTTTTCTAATCCCTTGCCCACTCATGCTCAGTATCCAGGCACACTGAGGCTGGCCCAGTGCCTGGACCATCTTCCCCAGGACCACCAAAGACCACGAAACCCCAACTTGCAACTCCCAAAGAAACCAGTGTCAAGAGTTAAGCAGTTGTCCAAATATGAATGCCTTTCAGTTAAATACATTCAGCCTTGCTTCAAGTCTTGTCCTCTGGGTTACGAGCTGCTCTACGGGAAGAGCAGGGAGGACGTCGGCGGCTCTGCCCTGTTACACCTCATGCCTGCAGAGGTTGCTCCCGTTCTGCCTGGTTCTCTTTTCAGGGTAGAGCTCCACTATCTCTACGATAACCTCCTTCTCTCAGGGTCTAACACGTTAGCAGGAACAAATGCTGAACCGGGGTGTGCTTGATAAGAAACCAGAATTAAAAACAACCCTCTGAAGGCTGTAGTGATGCTGTAGGAACAAAACCCCTCTGTGTTTCACAGAAATTATTCAACTTCCTGTCTTTTCACACCTTCTGGGAATTACTACAAAATTTCTTATCTTAATATTATCCTAATGTTCTTTCTTCCCATTGCTTGAAAACTAAAGTACCACTGATAACATCTTGCAGCTATACCCTGGCATTATGTGCCATCCAAGCTGTCCACACAATGTGGTTTGTTAAATACACCACAGTCAGATAAAATACTACAGAATCCGCCAGTCACTTCAATGTGAGCCTTAAAAAGTACTCCCGCCCGGCCGGGCGTGGCTCAGCGGTTGAGCGTCGACCTAGGATCCAGGCGATCGGGGTTCGATTCCCGGTCAGGGCACATGCCCGGGTTGTGGGCTGCAGCCGATCAATGACTCTCTCATCATCGATGTTTCTCTCTCTCTCTCTCCCTCTCCTTTCCTCTCTGTGAAATCAATAAAAATATATTTAAAAAAAAAAAAGTACTCCCATCCCAGGTGAAAGAGCTGTACCTGAAGTCACTGAACCTCCAGAAAAGTGGCCTGAGAAAGCAGAAGTACACCAAACCTAAAATATGTCTCAAAGAGAAACTTCAAAGTTACCTGGAGGGATAGCCCGCATGTGTAAAGTGGCCCTTACCTGGATTGGGTTGAAGGTATTCAATGGTTTTAGTCATTATTTCCATCACAGCCCTGCTGGTGACATCCACTTTCTGAAATGAGAAAATTAAGATTCTAAATGACAAAGATCATTAGCTTTAGAGCCTTAGTTTTTGCTTGAGCAGATATACAACCACAAGCCATGCAGCGAAGTAGCGTCGAGGCCTGAGGGGAAGGCGCGGGGCTGAGGGGCTGAGGGGCTGGGAGGACGGCTTCGCCTCCCGTGTGTTGCATCGAGGCCGCAAAGCCCACTGCATCCAAGGAGGAAACTTGGTCATGTCCTAAAGTTTGTTTCAAAATAGATTGCACTGTCTTCTGGCAAAATAAGGCGAAGGTAGCTTCTTCTTCCCATGAGAAGCCTGAGATCATCTCTGAAAATGGTTCAATAGTTAACTGACCCAGAGAAACCCACAAAATCACACAAATCATGAATTTCAAATCTTCATGTTCTCTTTAAGAACACGTGTGAAACTGCCCAGGCCATCGAAAGTATGCATATCCAAAAACCCACTAAGTCTCTGAAAGACGTCACTTTACGGAAGAAATTACGTAACATTACCACGCTGTGATCACAAGGCTGGGGTTGGCAGGTGTGCCCAGGCCAGTGGGGCTGGACATAGGTGCCATGGCCCAAGAGGAGTACTGGATTTTTGCTGCACATGCTTAAAAATGCAGAGTAATGCTGAAGTTAAAGTTTTTGATGTAGATTTTCTGGTCATTGAGCACATCCAGGTAAACAAAACCCCCAGGCGGGCCCCAGACTTACAGAGCTCATAGTGGGATTAACGTGTACTCGCCCTGCCACACTCAGATGATCCTTATTGAAAAAGAGCAAATTGTTCCTAAACCAGAAGAGGCTGCACAGGAGAAAAAGATATCCTAAAAGAAACAAAGATTTATGGCCTAGAAACAAATTCAGAATAAAATAAATATAAGTTTAAAAAGTGGAGATAATGAATCATATTTGGCCCCGTAGGCATTTACTGAATGTCGACAGTGGGCCAGGTATGGTGACAAGTCTCACAGCCCTAAAGAAAGAAAAACTCAGCATCAACTGTTTATTCAAGTAAGAGACAGAAAGTTTTCATTTAACTTTTGAGAACATCCTAGTATGTAAAAATCTTGCTTGAACACTTCAAGTCTGTCCTTGATTGTCTTTTTGGTTCATTCTAAACAAAAGTCTTGATGCCAGAGTCCATCCCTGCACAATTCTGTATGGTCAGTATTTGCATTCAGCAGGTCACCATGTCTTCTCTGTGTTGGAGAGGCTGTTCATTGCAGTAGGTCCTCTCTGCATTCCCCCATGAAATCCCTTTTTTACCAACACGTCTGGTCCATTCATTCACTCTAGACCAGGGGTGGGGAACGTCTGGCCCAAGGGCCATATATCCGTGAAATCATTTGGTCTGGCCCTGCCAAGACAACCGCAGGCAGGACTCTAAATTCAATATATTCAATTAAATGTTGAACCAAATACAGCAGGCCAATTTTTAAGTTGATAATTTTGTATGGCCCGCGAATAATGTTATAAATATTCAAATGGCCCTCAGCAGAAAACAGGTTCCCAATCCCTGCTCTAAAGGGCAAGTGACGAGTGAAAATCAATGTACCCTCCTCTCCAAGATATGTGCATAGTACCGTCCTCCAGATGAGGCTTGGGGACCTGGCACTGGCCAGCCACACAGGACCAGGAGGAAAGCACCTGCCACCCCATCTTCTGTTTCTGTGTTGAAAATCCTCAAAGTCTGTGGAAGCTTCATCCACAAGAACTACTCTACCCTGGGCCTCTGTGAAAGGGAGGCTCCCCCAACAAGCTCAGTTACCCAGGCTCCTCTACAGAAGCTGGATGCCAGCACTGTGAATCCTGAATGGTCCACAAGGAGGTTACCAAGGAAGGCATGAAAAGTGGTTCGCATTTTGTGTATGTAACCGCCTCTCCCCTCTGAGTTCTGTAAACAGATAGCCAACTACTCAGCTCCATAAAGAGAAGATACTAGCTTGGCTAAGGCTGTGCTACCAGGGGAGTCAGAGATACACTGGAGAGACCAATATTAGAGCATTAAGTTTGGTCCCCAGAGTAGGATTCAGCAGATGGGAGTAGGAATAAAAACAACCTCAGCGTCCCCTGTGATTTGACAGAAATCTCCCTAGGAATAAAAACGACCTTAGCGTCCCCTGTGATTTGACAGAAATCTCCCAGGAAGGAGCCCATACTAACCCAGATCTTTGCAGACTTTGTGCCCAATGAGGCAGACTCTTAGTTACCTAATCTAAACATCACTACAGTACAAGCTCCAGCTAAACCTTTTTGATCAGCGTGCAAAATAACCTTCATCTGCAATCAGCCTCTGAAAACAACTTCATCCAATATAATTATTTGCATACAGCATTATCAGGACATACTCCAAACAGGGCACAGTTCTTAGCAAATCATTCACTAGGATCTTGCTTTTGATTTTACTCTGACAGATAGTTACTTGACAGAGTTAATATGACAGATAGTCACTTGACAGAGTTAATAGACACAGGAGAAAGACACCAGTGCAGAATCTACTCCAAAACCTTAACTTTCTAAATATGCAAGTCTGAACCTAGAAAAGGGAAATGAACTCCCTGAGATCACAGGACTAGTGGCCATGATGGGAAGAAAGGTCCTGGATCAGAGGGTTTCTAAGAAAGAGTGATGAAGGAACTGACCTGTCCAATGACCATCTGCAATTGGGAGGCTGGCCAATTTCTAACTTCTTTTCATCTCCATCCTCACTAATAAGGTCCAGGACATTTTGCTAAACTAAACCACACTGTCAGCCAGGGACAGGCTGAGGGCCATTGCCCTGGGAGAGCCTCGAATGTGCCTTGTTAGGCACTTGCTAGGAAAGCTATTTATAAACCTAATCTGGCAATGTCCAGCACATATTCTCTTGTTAACAGGCCTGGTATAATTCACACCAATTAAGAAGATTTCCACTTAAGTAATTTATTATAACTGGCAGGAATTTTCCCATGTGAAAGCAGCACAGCTTAACTTTGAAATTATGACATAGAGCTAATGCTTTCCTCAATGCCCAAAGTTTCCTACTACTTGAAAATAAGTTTTGATGTCTTAAATTACAGCTTCTATTCTTATGAGCCCCCGAGCCTCCATTTCTTTAACTAATCTTGTCTGGATAGCGGTAAGAAGCCATTAGGGAAGGCTGTTTAGAGAAGGTGAACTCTAAATATATAGGGTGTCCCAAAATATGTATACACACACTTTAAATAATTATAAAGGCAATGTTTATTAAAATACACTTTATTTTTCAAAATTGAGCTATCAGCTGTTAAAGTGTGTATACACTTTGCAGGGTACACCCTATATACAGAAATGTACATGTTTTCAGGAAATAAAAACTCTACATAAAATATTTTTTCCTTGAAGGTAAAAGCATAGTCATATATTATTCTTTTTTCTTCAATTTTCTCAATACCAACATTTTAGCAACGTCAATATAGTTGACCCCTAAACAATGTAGGGGTTAGGGGAACCGATCCCCCACACAGTCAAAATTGTATACAACTTTTGACTCCCCCAAAACTTAACTTGTTCCTTAGTATCCACGAGGAATTGGTTTCCCTGGACCCCCACCCCACTTTTACCAAAATCCCTGGATGCTCAAGTCCCCCATGTGATATGGCATAAATTGAGGCATACAGTGGGCCCTCCGCATCCACAAACTCCCAACCGTGGACTGAGACAGTACAGGTATTTACTGAAAAACGTCTGCATATAAGTGGACCCGTGCAGTTCAAACCCGTGTGTTCAAGGGTCTGCTGTGCTTCAGAGTCAGAAATGTCTTCCTCCACTATCCCGCCTCGTAAGTCACAATGCTGGAGAGGGAGGGAAACAGCTCTCTAAACCTCCTTACTCACTCTAACCTGTTTCTTCTTCAGCTACGGCAAGGTTGGCACACTGTGGCCAGCAGGCCCACACCAGGCCCGTACCTGCTTTTCCTTTTTTTTTTTTTTTTTGAGAGAAAAGGTGACAAATGTTTTTATTTTTATGTTGTCAAGAGCTCAGCAAGAATTTGCTTTTGTTTTGTGTTTTGTTTTTACATTTTTAAGTGGTTGGGAAAACGGAAAAGACTACTCTTTCAGTGCATAGAACAAATATACAAAATTCAAATTTCTGTGTTTTTAGATGAATCATATTGGAACATAGCCATATTGTTTGTTTAGACAGCGTAATAGTTGCTTTTGCTCTTTAACAGCAAAGGCGAGCCATTGCAACAGAGACCACGGAGGCCCTATGGCCCACGGAGCCTAACATAGAGAAAGTGTGCCAATACCTGTGCTGAGGTTCTAGTTTTGCAAAGGTATGCCACACGCATCTATCAAGGATGCTGATCATTTCACCAGCTGCCTTGGTCCTTAGAGACAAGACACAAGAGAACTGAAAGGCACTGAGCTGACTAGAAGGGGGGGGGGTGAATGCTTTGAGGCATCTGAATATTACTTTTATCCACTGGAGAAAAAAAGTTCTCAGTGTTTCTGAACTCAGCACCCATGAACACAGCATTCTTTGCAGAACAATGAAAGGCCTGAAAGATAGAACTTCATTCCATCAGATGCTGCCTTATATCAGATATGGCAGCAGGAACATACTAACAGTTTAAGGAAAAATACACACCTTAAAATGGAGCGCAGTTTATGGGTTTATTGATCAATAATAAATAGATGAATCAGTGCCCACCTGGACAGAGGGTAACTCACAGTGGCTATGCAAAAAGAAAATGTTAAAATGTCAAATGAAAAACGAAAATATTTTCAAATTCTTAATTTCCTATCACAGAAGTTAAGAAAATGTACACATTAAAAATGCATGTACGCCCACTGAAAGCAATGAGAACCCTGAATGAGGACACCTAGTGAAACAAGTCAGAGAGGCAGGAAGAAACAGTATCCTGGGGAAGTTTGTCTGGCAGTCAGATGCGGGCTGGTCCAATACAATGTTCTTAATAGTTCCCTAGGGACTCAGAAGAGTTCATGTACCTATCCCAAATGGCTCTGCCTTCTAGCAGTTATTTATGGATTCAGAAAGTCTGATTAACAAATGGGGTGCTGAAAAACAAAAATAAATAAGGTATTTGGCTGAGACTGCCCAAGATATTATCTTGCTAATCTTCTTGGGCATCTCTTTTAATGAATATTAGCTTGGAAATATATTTGAAAACATAACTGAGAAGAAATCTGTCTCCCCTAAATTTCAGGGTAAGCAAAAAGATATCTTTAAAGCTTGTCTTATTTGGGGCTCTCACCTATCTTACAATTCCATACCAGAAAGTGAATGTCTTAGTACAGAAATTCACATCTTCTCTGTTACCACCACACCCATGAAGAAGACATTCATGGGCATGACAGACACCCATGAGTGCACTCGGGGATATGTGTCACTCTTAGCATGCTGGTTGGAACTTCACTCTTTTTCTCTCCGTGCCCTTGGCCAGAACTGAACCCTGGACCCTTCAGTCCTTGGGCCAACACTCTAATCACTGAGCCAAACCAGCTAGGGCAAAACTTCTTTCTTATGTTGAGCTGGACTCTATTTCCCCACAGTTTCTACTATCAATGGGTAGTTCTATCACTTAAGGTTGAATGAAGGATCTAACTCTTCTCCACCCAATGACGAATTAACTGTATGAAGATAACGGCCCTTCTATTCTATCAACCTTTCCCCACACCCCACTCTGCAAACAACCCACTCTTTCTCCCTCTCACATGCAATGGCATTCTTTCTATTAAATGCTCTATAATCACATTTCCAACCCTAAAACCCCTCTGGTTTCAACAGAAGGGGCTTCCCAGGATACTTTTCAGACTGAAAACAGAGACACTCTACCCCTTGGCTTGGACTTCTGCGTTACCCACATATGCTCGGCCAAGAGAAAACTTCAGGATTTAGCGCAGGTGCTCTCTCCTCTAGGAAGCTTCCACCGACCTACCCGGACTGGGTTAGTTCTTCCCTGGGAATCACCCCCAGGACACCAAGCACTACGTCCTGTATGCCGCTGGTTTACACACCCACTTCTCCCATCAGAACCAGAAGCTCCTTGCGGGCAGGGACTGTGCCTGAACCACCTCTGTGCCCCTGCTGTCCAGCACGACGCCTGGCATGTGGAGGCGCTCACAGATATTCCATGTGAATTCATGAACGTAACTACACACAGAAAAACGCAGAATCACTGCAGCAAGTGATGGAAATTTGAGAAGGAACAAGAGGTCCCTCGAATTCTAGGATTTCCTCTGGACAAAAAATCTGCAGCTTTTCAAAGAACAAATCCACACAATGTCTGTACTATGATAAGAAATTTAGTTTGTGTTTGACGAAGCTGGTAAGCAACAGATACCATTTAAAATGAACACAAACAATTCCATCCAAGGCACTAAGAGGAGGAAAAAAACAGTTATGGGCAGGGTTCCTGCAGAGATGACACAGTGGCAGGGACTCCACCCACTCAGCTCTGGACGGGATGGACAGCTGCGGGACTGACAGATGCACATGGTCATTTTACTTCATCTTAGGAGTGGCTGTGGTGGAGGGTTAGAGAAACCACCTCTAGGAATTCCCACTTCTCTCTCCCGCTAGTGCTGCTGGATGCAAACCTCTAATTTATTTCACTCTGTTGTCTAATTGTACCTCTGAGAACACAGCCGAACAAAGGTCTCCCACTGCAAATCCTTATGATCAGAAAACCAGCTGTAAAAGGGCGATTCTTCTTCTGTAGCCTTGGGAATATTGAGCTAAATACTTTTGTGAGTAATAAACATATTAACAGGAGACAGAATATTTGATATTCTAAATCCGAAGTACGTTATTTCTAATTACAGAAGTCTTTACCTTTCTTGCAAATTTAGCATGGGCAAAAAGTAGAAAATCTCCAACAGAGCCACAGATAGACAACAGACGTATGAAATAAAATGGAGTAAAACAAATGTCCACACTGCACTGAAATCTAAATCTCTCAGTTTATATGGATAGAAACCCAAATACAAAACCACAGGTGCATTCTTCAAACAGTTACCAAGAGTTTACTTTATTGCAAGAATATCGAGATTTTGAAATAAAACCTCCACAAACTCCTTATTTTCTAGGAAATAGGAGAAATAAACCCAACCTTCAGACTCACAGGATGTCTGTGGGTCTTTGCCGGAAGTAAAATACTTGCAAGATCCTCTTTTATTTCAATTCATTTGCACGGTTGGAACTGACTCAAAGCCTTAATTCGTTGTTGAGTTCTAAACTCTACCCTGTTTTCCAAATTTCTTCTTCTTTTTACTATCATTTAAGAAACAAAAGGTGAGTTTGTCTTAGCTTTGGCAGGGAACCTTTGTCCTGGCAGATGAAGAAAGCAGAACTCAACTTCCGACTTTTTAGTTCTAAATTCCTAAGTACCTGCCTCATCTGTCACTGACGACATGGCACTGGCCATGCGACATGCTGTAAGTTCCCTCC